TCGACCTACCTCCTCTTCAAATTCTTTTGGAAAGAGAGGCGAGATGGGCTACATATAGGTTTCTAAGTATAGCACGAGGAAGCCAAGGAACAATCATGTTCATACAAAACCGGCTAGTAGAAGAACTACAGTCGGATGGGATTCTGGGAATGGTCTCGGATCTCACACCACCAGTCCAACTCTTGACGCGCACCTACAACGTCCTGTTTCCGAATAGGAACGAGTGGGATAAGCCGGGAAACGGTTTATTACATGCGGAAATGTGTTGGTACACGGACGGATCCAAAAACGAAAAAGGATCTGGCGCAGAAATTTACTGCAGCAGTCCAAAGACTGAGATCTACCACAGTCTTGGAAAACACACCACGATTTTCCAAGCTGAGCTATATGCTATTGAAACCTGTGTGCAACTGCTGGTAGAACAGCAATACACCGGGAAAACAATATGCATATTTTCCGATAGTCAAGCCGCGCTGAAAGCACTTGAGGCAACGAAAAGCACGTCTATGACGATTCTTCATTGTAAGAAACTACTCAATATACTGGGAGATAGGAATAAAGTGTCGCTAATATGGATACCGGGACATGTCGGCCTAGAGGGAAATGAACGTGCTGATTCCCTCGCCAAAATTGGTGCAGGCTCGCCATTCGTGGGCCCAGAACCGACACTTAGCGTTCCTAAAAATCTCGCAAGTCACAGGCTCTGTGAATGGGTTACGGGTGCGACGTTCCGGGACTGGAATGACAGTCCCGGAATGGAACATGCCAAGAAGATCCTAGCAGGGCCATCCAAACATAGAACAGGAGAACTCCTAAAGGCCGGTAGGAATGGAACGCGTGTGCTCACTGCAGTGTACACGGGCCACTGCCGGCTGAGATCTCACCTGCAGAGGACGGGAATGGTGGAAGACGCCGAATGCCGACTCTGTATGGAAGATGATGAAACAATGAAGCACGTTATGTGTACCTGCCCTGCTGGGAGCAGGACCAGGTTTGAGATGTTTGGCAAACCCATGCTAGACCTATCAGACCTAGGAGACATATCGCCCTCAGACATAACGGCCTATATTAAGAGGCTGGGTCTTGAGGATGAACTTTGACGCTCTTGTAAATTAGAGCTTGTAGAAACTGAGCCACAATAGGCCCTCGCGGCCTCAGTGGAGGGTCCCCCTTGGGACCCACTCTTAGTCAAATACAAAAAATACAAATACAAACCCAAAAAGACCGCAATTTTCGCCAAAAACGACGAGGCCTCGCTTTAATCATCGATACCAAAAATCGGAATAGTTGATTGGCTGTCACATGGACGCGGTCACATGTGTACGGGCCCGTCACATTTCATCGAATTTCACGGATCGTCGACTCTTTTGTCCTGTCCTGCTCAGCTAGCCCGGGGGTGTCCCTGTCACACACACATGTGCCGAGCAGCAAGAATATTACGAAGTGGCAATGTCTAGCAGGAGGAGCAGCAATCGATCAGTTCATTAATATTATGTAGAATATTATAGATGGACATGTCAATATCTGTCGGTAGAAGTAATTTATATTTATTTTTTACTCAATAACTCAAACATTTTGGTTGCAAATAAAAATTTAAGTTAAGCATGATTTTGTTGACACATTATATAATAAAAATACATAATCATATCATATCGCTTCTAAAATTTATTTAATTTAGGAATTGAGAGAATAAATGCGACATTCCCGCACAAAATATTCCCTTTAGAATTTCATCCAGCGTGTTACTAAATGATATAATATCAGATTTCACCCATAATAGTAAGAATAATATTCCCCCATAATAGTAATAACAGAATTTTGTTAAGTAGTTTTTATAAAATCTACTTCGCGGTGTAGATTTAAATATAAAAGGTTCGGCAATAGTGCGTGGGGCATCTGTAGCTCTTAGATTAAAAAACTTGAGAATTTTCTTTGAGTGCAAACCTCAAATATGTACTAGGATGTATTTCATGAAAATATTTTAACTTGTATAGGGTGGCTCCATAAAGTGTAAATGGATCGGGATGATCCAACGTACACGGTGTACAATAATAAACATATTATTGCATTTTTGGCTTCCTTCCAGATCACTTTACATAATCCTAAGATACGAATAAATATTTCGATAGTTTCAGATATATTAATAAATGAATAAAAATATACAGGGTGGCGCACCTCATTCGCTTCACTTGATTATACGAAAACGGAAAGATGTATAAACAACATATTTTATGGGTATATGTGGGGAGGCAATGTGCACAATTTAGAATTATTTTGAAATATACAGGGTGTTTCAGAACTAAGATCCATACCAAAGTTATATTTTTATATTTTATGGAACACCCGGTATTTTATTTAGATTTTGGATTCTTGGGTCTAAAAAAGGTATTTATTATAAGGGTTAAATATGTTTAAAATCTTTGGTTTTTGAGATATTTAAAGATATTTAAATATGCATGCTACAATAGATTATTAACACCCTGTACATTACTTTTCAGAATTAATTATTGTGCTGAGTTTAAAGGTAAAGAAATAAACCTTACTGAAAAATGCCATTGCTTCCTTAAATTTATACAGGGGTATCAAAAATTGCTGTTCTATTTTAAGGCTATATTTTATATAAAAACTTCGTTATTTCAAATGCAACACCCTGTATTTTTTTAAATAAACCGAAGCAGATTCAAATGCTCTTTCAAACTGTATTAGGGTTTCCTATACCTATCTAGATCAGATTTTGAATAAAAAGCGATTTTTAAATAAAATTGTAATCATGATGGCTGCTGTCGCCATGGCAATTTTCTAGTGACAGTTAATAACTATTTCGACATTAGTTTTGGACATTATTATTTATAATTTATAACAGTTTACTTAGATTTACCTACAATAGTTTAATAAATAAGTATTTATTATTTTATCAAGAAAAATAAAGCAGTATCTGCTTGCGGAATGAATGGATAAGTATGTTTCTAGTGATTTTATTTTGTGAGGAAAATGGCCTCTTGGCCACAAGAACTTATGCTCAAAGGTATCCAAATATAGGAATCTTCCTGATAAGTGTTCCTTTGAAAAACTACTTGTCCTATTTCGCAGAGCTGGTTGTGAATAATATACACATGTGGTTTATAAAAAAACCTGTTAGAGGCAGAAACCTGTCGTTGGAAGCGAAGAGAATGTATTTTCCGTAATTTTCTCTTTTATAGAAAATCCATACATCTACAAGTTGTCATCGTAAAATAAATCAAAGAACTACTTTTTTTTCTTGATTGAATAATAAATACGTATTTAATTAATATTATTTATTAAATTATTGTAGGTAAATTAAATAAAAGTAAACTGGTATAAATTTAAATAAGTCCATAAACTAATTTCGATTCTGAAAAGAGCTACTAACTGTCAATAAAAAAACTGCCATGCCGACACTAGCCCTCTTAGTTGCCATTTTATTGAAAAATTGCTCTTTATTCAAAATCTGAGCTAGATAGGTATAGAAATCCCTAATATAGTTTGAAGGAGCATTTAAATCTGCTTCGATTTATTATAAAAAATACAGGGTGTTGTATTTGAAATAACGAAGTTTTTATGTAAAATACATCCTTAAATTATACCAGCAATTTTTGATACCCGTGTATAAATTTAAGGAAGTAATAACATTTTCCAGTAAAGTTAATTTCTTTACCTTTAAACTCAGCACAAGAATTAATTCTGAAAAGTAATGTACATGGTGTTAATAATCTATTCTATAGTATAGAATGCAAATTTAAATATCTTTAAATATCTCAAAAACCAAAGATTTTAAACATATTTAACCCTTATAAGAAATGCCTTTTTTGTGCCCACGAATCCAAAAAATCTGAAACACCCTGTATATTTCAAAATAATTTTAAATTGTGCACATTGCCTCCCCACATATATGTACCTATAAAATATTTTGTTTCTACATCTTTCCGTTTTCGTGTTATAAAAATTATTAAAAATAGAATACCTATTCTGAAATCATAACTATATTAGGTATTTACTTTAGACGGTCTGTACTTACTTTGCTATAAATATGGTAATCGTACAATCATCAAAAATCATACAGAGTGTTTAAAATTGTACGCCAAACTCTCTAAAATATAAAATAATTTTTCTTCCTTTTTCTTAAATGGAGCACCCCCTATATTATTTTTTTATTAAATGGATAGTTAAAAAATGCACATTTTTGTATTTAAAGCATATCAAAAATTTTAATGGTTTCGCAGATACACGCAGAATTATTTCATACGGCTCTTTCGACGGCAAAATACGAGAGAAAAATCATTGGGGGGCTTTGATAAAAATTTGGTGTGGAAAATGCCATATGAAATATAAAACCGCGAATATCTGCAAAACCGTTAAAATTTTTGAAATACTCTAAATACAAAAATTCTCTATCTACTTTTGGCGTAGAATTTTGAACATCCTCTATGATTTACGATTACCATAATTAAAGCAAAGTAAGTACAGACCATTTAAAGTAAATACCTAATATAATTCTGATTTCAGTGAGAGATAGTTCTTGTATTTTTAATAATTTGTTTTAAGAAAAGATGAAAAATATATATTTTTTATTAATTTATTAATGTCTCTAAAATTATCGAAATATATTTACTCACTAGTTGAAGCCTGGCGCATCCGCCACGACATCAGGAAAAAGATGCTTTTTTTTTAATTAAATGAAAAACAAAAAATCCGGCGACGACAGTTAGCTGTCTTTTAATTAAAAAAGCAACTTTCTAGAGCTAGTCGTTACTTCAGTAGAGACGACACAGATAAACATTAGCATTTTATATATATGTAGATATCTTACCATTATGTAAAGTGATCTAAAAGGAAACCAAAAGTGTAATAATATACAGGGTGTTGTATTTAAAAAAAACTTATCCTGTTCCACACATACTTTTTTGAGCCACCCTATAGAAGTTAAAATAATTTCCTGAAATACGTCCTAGTGCATATTTTAGGTTTGCCAAAAAAGTTTTTATTCTAGATATTTATTAATATGATGATATAAAGTATATTTCATTTTTTATACAGAAATTTTTCATTTTTTATACTAAAATTTTTTAAATATATACAGAAAATTTTTCAATTAGATCGCATTCTTTTTACTAGCGTATCATAATCGGAAGCAAATACGACTTTGATGTTGTTTGGCAATCCTACTTCTGGTTTACTTCCCGATACTGTCACTACCGCATCTCCCATTCTAATATATCCAAGGTGTTTTCCATACGTTATTCCGAGTTGGATCCTTTCATCTACATCTTTATTCCAATTTCCATCAAAGGTCTTCAAGTATATTAACGGTTCTACTCCTTTATTTAATCTTAGAGATCTTGCTATTCGCGGATATCTTGTTATCGTAATTATTGGACATCTAGGTTTGAATCTGGAAAGTACCTTTGCAGTTCTACCAGAAGTAGTTAAGCAAATAATCGCTGCTGCGCTAGATTTTAACGAGGCTTCAACTGCGGAAATGCATAATGAATAAATAGCTTCATTTGGTGTTGGTATATTGTAAATAAGTTCATTGAAGATTTGTCGCTGATATACAGCAGGTTCAGCTTCTTTACACACAACGGCCACTTCTTTAACAATTTCCTTTGCGCAAACGTTTTGGTGTATAAGTAAGGCGTCAGCTCCATCAATAATACTGTTTGCAATATCACAAACTTCCGATTTCGATAATGATGCCACGTTATTAATATTCGTTGAACATATTACTGGAACCCCGCTTAAATTGCATTTAGCCAGTATTGATTTTTGGACTAAAAATACCTTTTCCTTAGGAATTTCTACTAGTAGGCGTTCGCAATCTACAAATATGGCATCTGAGCAGGCGATAATTTCGTCAATGTTTTCTACGGCCAACGAGTTCTCTATTTTAGATATTATGCTAATTTTATCTCCATCTTCACTTACTAGTTTCCTTATATCAGCAATATTCTGGCTATTATGAATTCCAGAAACCATCAAAAAGTCAATGTTTAATTTTAAAGCCATTTGAATTATACTTTTATCTTCATCTGATACTACAGGAAGATCTATAGGAGCATTAGGAACTATAACTGAAGAACGATTAAAAAATCTCCCTGCTTTTTCAACAATACATCGTATTATACTTTCAGCAACTTCAATAGCTGATAAATGTAATTCGCCATACTCAAGTAAAACTTTGTCACCGGGTTGCACTATTTCGGGAAGTTTTGAGTAGTCAACAAAAATCATATCTTCACTAACAAATTCTTCATAGGCTTCGTCAGTTGTTAGTGTGGTCACTTTACCTTTGGGAAGGAAAATTTCTTCTTTGTTTTTCTCTAGCTGTCCTGTTCGGATTTCCGGACCTTTAACGTCTAATGCAAAGGCTAATGGATATATTCTTCCTATTTTTCTACTGTATGCTTCTAAAATTGTTCGAATTTTTGTAACCAACTCAAGTAGTTTATTTGTGTCATTTCCGGGCGCTGATATCCTCGCTACTGACATACCATTTATCATAAGCTCTTCTATTGTATTGCATGTAGCCTTTAAAGGAACTGTACATACCAGCTGTGTGGATCGGAATATTGGTGCTTTTGATTTAATATTCAAATTGCTTAAATGTCTCAAGCCGTTTTCAGCAAATGCCGCCGAGCATTGGCTGTTCAGCACTTTTCCATCTTCTGAAGAATAAAAATCTATCATCCACGGTAATTTCGGACACTCCGAATTTAATACATCCATAATTGTTAACTTAAAGCGTATTAATTATTAATTTCAAAAGCACAAATGAATTTTGGAATATGAGACATTTTTTTCTGTCGAGTTGACGTGCATGAAATATTAAAACAAAAATGTCAACTTGACATGGATATATTCCTGTATTTTTCATAATGATTTCGATATTTTTAAATAATAAAAAATAAGAAAAACGCATATAAATACAATATTTTTTTTATTAAGCTTTCTACAGATTTACAGATATGAGATATCTAGGAACTAAATGCAGTAAAATTCAAATTGCAAAATAAATATACATACTGGTTGAGTAATTTTCATTTCAAAATACTTCTTTTATTTTTCCATATTTTAGTGTATTTTGTAGTTCTGAATAAATTTGTATCTATCTGTACTGTACAGGGTGGTTGAAATCTCGGTCGAAATCGAATGTTGATTTACCTTCTCAAAAGTCTTTAATTATGCAAATAAATAATGACATAGAATATTAAATTGTCATAAAAATAATTAGGCAACTATAGGTCAACACAAAATCAAGGCCCGCTTCGATACAAAGATAAAAAACGTAATATTTCCGTCATTTTTAAAAATAAATACACATAACTTTATATCGTTGGAGGGGTTAAACGCCAGCATTTTTTTAAGTTCATAGCCAACTATGATTTCTATTTAAAAAAAAATATTTTTTATTATTTCTGACTAAAAAAGCAAGTATAGAAAAAAAGTGACTACGGCACTGGATTGCGCTTAAAAAAGTGCCTTAAGAACGGTTTTACAGAATTTTTTTATTCCGGGAAATACAAAAGTTATTGGCAATTTTCCAATTGGTAAAAAATTCAAAAAGACTCCGTATCTCGGTTGGCAGTGAAAATATGAACAGGCGGTTTAGGCCATTAAGCGTTTCTCAGAAATCGAGCTTATGACATCTATGTCGGTTTTGCTCTACCCATACAGCACACTTCGTCCCAAGGACGTACATTTTATGTCCATTTTACGTCGGTACGTCCCGGGACCAATTAGGGACGTACTATGTACGTACAAAAGTATACGTACATAGTACGTGCCCCATGTACGTACTATTTACGTACATTGTAGGACTTCACTACGGACGTATATGCGAGTACGTACTACGGACGTACATGCGAGTACGTACTACGGACGTACATGCGAGTACGTACTACGGACGTACATGCGAGTACGTACTACGGACGTACATGTGAGTACGTACTACGTACGTATCTTGACAATTTTTGAAAAGGCATTACAAAATGTTATTTAATTTTAATATCATGACTGGATTATTTTGGTCAGATATACCCTATAATAATGAATGGACTGGATCAGTGGATCTTTTCTAGGGTAACGTTAATTCAAGTCACTCTAACCTACCTCTACTTCTCTTATTAATAAATCTAACCCGACCGCTATAAAAAATGATTTCCTAAATTATCCAATGACCATAATGCATGACAGCCTTTGAAGGAATCTGATGCAAAATACGAAAAATGCAATATATTATGCAATCAAGCCTTACAGGAAAATTATGCAGTCCTATGTTTAAATTTCCCGCTAAGTTATTCGTTCACATTCGAGTCTTGTCGGAATCGGAAGTCGGGCGGTTTCTAATGGCGTTTTCGATTGGCAGAGCTAGAGCGCACGTGCGCACTCAGTGTAGTTCCATCTGTTATTAATCAACGTAAAAAATAAAAACAACAATACACTGAGTGCGCACCTACTCCGATCCAGTTTTCGATTGTGTATGTGTTTTGTGTGTGTCGTGGTGGCCGTAGGCTTCCGCCTGGTTTTCTTTTGTCGTTGCCTTCGTTTCTCGTTGTTTCAAGGTAAGTTAAAGTGTAATAATATAATGTGACTATTTCACCTAGCACAGTCATAACCTCGAATGATTGAGAATCGGCTCATTCAATTTTTTCAAAACAGAGGCAAGAATTAGATATTTGAATACTTAGTTTTCTTTTTGTATTTTTTAGTTAGAAGCAGTTCGAGAATAAAAAAATAAAATATCTATCAACATCCAATAAAAGACAGAGTGCGCTAAGGGTGTAGCTGCCGGACCGAAGCCAGACTCACGGGTATATCAAGACATAAGGGATGATCCTGTACCTGAGTTTTTATATTAATAAATATTTTAAGCTGACTTCCATTGAATTATTTCTAATTAAATTCCTAGGTCGTAAACGTCGTTGAAAAATGTACGTCCATAGTACGTACATTGTACGTACTTTCGATCATTTTACGTCCGGTTTTGGTCCGGAACAAAACATAAAATGTACGTACCTGGAATGTACGTACATTGCCACGTCCCAGGGACGTACCGGGGACGTACAGAGCGTTGGAAAATGTACGTCCCCGGTACGTACTTGAACGTACCAGGGACCTGACGTTCGTCCCAACATTACGTACCAGGTACGTACCGTGGCTGTATGGGTATCTAGTCAGGAAATAGGTTTTCTCTGTTAAAACAGGCCAATTTCGACCACCCTGTACAGTGATGTGCTAATCACTGCAGTGTTAATGCAAATTCCTACTCGTATTCTATAAATTAAGTACGAATAATATGTTCTTCTCAGGTCCATACATAAAACAATAGATGGCTTTTCGGTCAATTGTAAAGTGGTATAAGACTATAAAGTGGTATTACACAAAATAAAACTTGAAAAAAAAAAATATCACTGCATACACTTTAAGTTATTTTAGAAAATGTTAAAAAAATATACCGCATAAAATCTAAAATGGATAGGTCAGGTGATAGAGGAGGCCCTTGCAATAATTAGTCCAACTCTTCCTATCCCTGAGTTTGAATAATTATGATATAAATAACTTTTTTTAACATTTATTTCATCATGGAGAGGGGGGGGGGGTGTCATAATGAAAGTCATGTTGGAACCAATCTATTGATGCGCGAATCTCTAAATTTAACTTTTCTTGAAAATCGTTCTCTAAAAAGCGTATGTAACGCATCCTCGAAAATGTATAGCCAAGAAAAGTCGAACGAATAATCCTACACGCTTTTCTTCATTTGAAAAATTCTTATTTTCAATTTTTGGTTATTTTAATTTACAAAGTTTCGATGTGACAGTTTGACATTTCTGAGAGCAAAGACGATTGAACTTGTTTCCATGGCTAATTAAGTAAAATTGTTTAAAAACCATAAGAATTGGCCATAACTCAGCAATTTTTGGAAAAAACCATATTATAGCTTATACCGCTGAAAAGCTTAAAAAATGGCGATTTTTATGAAGTCATAGCCAACTATGGTTTCCATTTAAAAAAAAACATAAGTTTGTGTCATATGTCAAAAATTAAAGAAAAAAGCGAAGAACACAATCTCATTAAGATTGTGATTATCTACAACTTTTATCTGAAAACTTTTTTTTTTAAATGTATTATAATGGAATTAGGGACCATTTTTAAAATAGCCAAAATTTGTTTTTTTCGAAATATCTAGTAAGCCATGAACTTTTTCAAAAATCTGAAAGGCGCATCTTTATGTTCCCACAAAACTGCAATTTTTTCCTAATTTAACCGACTTTCTAACTCCAGTTGTTTCCGAGATACCCACAAAAACATCGTAGAAAACTCACCCTGTATATTATTTAGTTTTTGAAAATAAAGTATATGTGGAAATTCTTCAGCAGCTTTCACAGTCCAATTAAAAAAGTATATCTTTTAAATATATTATGTCATAATATACAGGGTCCGGCAATAGTGCGTCGGGCATCTGTAGCTCCTAGAATAAAAAACTTTAGAATTTTGTTTAAGTGCAAACCTAAAGTTTCAGGACGTATTTCCGGAAAATATTTTAACTTCTATAGGGTGGCTCAAAAAAGTGTGAGTGGATCTGGATTATTTTTTTTTAAATGGAGCACCCTGTATATTATTGCATTTTTGGCTTCCTTTCAGATCACTTTACATGATCCTAAGATATGAGTAAATCTATTTGGATAGTTTCAGAGATATTAAAAAATAAATCAAAAATATATATTTTTCAGCCCTTCTTAAAAAATTATTAAAAATACAAGAACTGTTCCGAACTCAAAACCATATTAGGTATTTACTTCAGATGGTTTGTTCTTACTTTGCTATAAAATATGGTAATCGTAAATCATACAGGATGTTCAATATTCTACGCCAAACTTTCTAAAATATAAAATAATTTTTCTTGGTTTTTTTAAATGGAACACCCTGTATATTATTCTTCTATTAGATTGAGAATTAAAAAAATAACATTTCTTGAATTTAAAGTATTTCAAAATTTTTAATAGTTTTGCGGATACACGCAGTATTATTTCTTATGGCGCTTTCAATGGTAAAATACGAGAGAAAAATCATTGGGTGGCTTTGATAAAATTTACTGTGCAAAATGTCATATGAAATATAAAACCGGGAATATATGCAAAACCGTTAAAATTTTTGAAATACTCTAAATACAAAAAATGTTCATTTGTTAATTCTCCATCTATTGAAAAAATAATATACCCTGTATATTATTTTTCCATTTTTGTTCCATTTAAAAAAACGAAGAAACATAATTTTGTATTTTAGAAAGTTTGGCGTAGAATTTTGAACATCCTGTATGATTTACGATTTCCATATTTATAGCAAAGTAAGTACAGACTATTTAAAGTAAATATTTAATATAGTATTGATTTCAGGACAGTTGTTGTATTATTAATAATTTTTTTAGAAAGACTTAAAAATATATAATTTTTATTTATTTATTAATATCTCTGAAATTATCAAAATATATTTACTCATGTCTTAGGATTATGTAAAGTGATCTGAAAGGAAGCAAAAAATGCAATAATACACAGGGTGTTCCATTTAAAAAAATCATCCCGATCCACTCACACTTTTTTGAGCCACCCTATAGAAGTTAAAATATTTTCCTGAAATAGATCCTAGTACATACTTTAGGTTTGCACTTAATCAAAATTCCCAAGTTTTTTATTCTAGGAGCTACAGATGCCCGACGCACTATTGCCGGACCCTGTATATGGCATATACAGGGTGGTCCGAACTGTATTCCGGAAATTTTGGAAGCATCTTTTGCAGATAAAAAACAAGTAAAAAAGTTCGTATA